GATAAGCTCCCTCTTCTGTATAATAATTTTTCTATAAACTTTTTGAATTTTCTACAATCATGTCATCTGCAAATATAGCAGTTTGCTTTTTCCTTTCCAATATCACGGCTTTAATTTCCTTTTCTTGTGCCGGCTATTGCCTTTAATACAATGTGAATACAAGTAGTGATAGCTGGCATCTTTCTTTTGTTCCTGACTTTAAAGGAAACACTTCCAGTGTTTTCCCAGTAAGAATGATGTTTGCTGTAGTTTAAAAAAATAACTTTTAGCCTGGCTGGTGTGGCTCAGTGGTTGAGCGTTGAACTATGAACCAGGAGGTCACAGTTTGATTCCCGGTCAGGGCACATGCCCAGGTTGTGGGCTTAATCCCGGTAGGGGGTGTGCAAGAGGCAGCTGATCAATGATTCTCTCTCATCGTTGATATTTCTATCTCTCCCTTTCCTTGCCTCTCTGAAATCAATAAAAAAATATTAAAAATATAATAATAAGCAAAAAAATAATATAATAATAAAATAACTTTTATCAAGTTAAGGAAGTCCCCTTTTATTCCTAATCTGTTAAGAGTTTTGTCATGTCTGGGTGTTGAACTAAATGCTTTGTAAAGCCCACTTTTATTGTGAAGTATAACACATAAAGATAATGCAGAAAGACATAAATATAAAATATAGAATACTTATAGAGGGAATACTTGTGTAACCACCATCCAGGCTAACTAAAAGAACCTGGCCAGTATTCAAAAAGAATTTGTATGTTTCTACTCTGTCAGACACCATTTCCTCTTCACAGAGATAAGCAGTATTCTGATTTTCATGGAAATCACTTCCTTGCTTTTCTTAACAGTTTACCCATATTTGTGTACATTATTTAACAATATAGTTTCTTTTGTCTGCTTTTGAAGATATATATTGTATATGTAATAATACTACTGTATATATATATATTTGTTATATACATAGGAGTGGAATTACTGTATTATAGGGCATATTCCTTTTTATTAGATAATGCTAAACTCTTTTCCAAAGTGATTTAACCACTTATACTCCCGTTAATTGTATATCAGGGTTTCTATTGTTCCATATTCTTGTCAACACTTAATATTTTCAGACTTTAGACTATTCTGGGGGCATCCAGTGGTATTTTATTATGGATTTAATCTGCAATTCTCTGATCACTAATGAAGTTGAGCGCCTTTTCATATTTTGTTGACCTTGTGGATTTCCTCTTGTGAAGTGCTATTTCAGATCTTTAGTTCACGTTTATAATTTTTATTGTTAGGATATTTTTTCCTATTCATTTAAAAAAGTTCTTTATACATCCTGAACACGTCCTTTGTCAGTTATATATGTTGTAAGTGCTTCCTTCTATCCTGTGGCTTGTCTTTTGATGAACAGATGTTCTTGATTTTAATGTAGTCAAATGTATCAATCTTTTCCTTTATGGTTAGTGTATTTGAGTATTTCTTATGAAATATTTCCTTCCCCTGAATTCATGTATATATTTTTCTATATTATCTTCTAAAAGGCTTTTAATTTGCTTTTTACATTTATTTGTTTTGTTTTTGTTGATTTCAGAGAGGAAGGGAGAGAGAGAGAGAGAGAGAGAGAGAGAGAGAGAGAGAGAGAGATACATCAATGATGAGACAGAATTATTGACTGGTTGCCTTCTGCCTCCTGGAGCCCGCAACCCAGACATGTGCCCTGACTGGAAATTAAACCATGACCTCCTGGTTCTTAGGTCGACGCTCAACCACTGAGCCACGCTGGCTGGACTGCCTTTTACATTTAATATAACATATAGTGGGGAATGATTTTTGTATATGGTTTAAGGTAGGGGTTTGTTTTATGTTTTCATATAGATAATTATCACAGCACATTGAAATCTGCTTCCTTTCTCTCCTGCTCAAAAGTGCAAACTATTATAAATCAACTGTCTATATATTTGTGAATCTGTTTCTGCCTATGTATTTTGTTCCTGTGGTCAATTTATCTATCTATCTTGTGCCAGTACTATACTACCTTGATTGTGATGGCTTTGTGATTATGTCCTGGTATCTGGTAAAGCAAGTCTTTTCACCTTGTTTGTCTTCAAGGGCTATTATTGGCTTTTTACATTTCCATGTAAATTTTAGAATCATTTTGTCAGTTCCACACAGTCACAAAAAAAGCCTGTTGGTATTTTGATTTGTACTGAATCTATAATCACGTTAGGGAGAATTGACTTCCTCATGATATTGAGACTTTTACTCTATGAACATGATATCTCTCCATTTATGTTAGGTCTGCAGTGTCTCATCCTAAATTATAATTTGCTGCATACAGGTCTTACACATATTTTGTTACATTTATATTTTCGTATTTGGTATTTTTCATATTAGTGAAAGTAGTAACTTTAAAAAATTATTCATCATCTAATTGTTTGTTGTTCATAGATAGATATGTAATTTATTTTGGGAGAGTTAATCCTCACCCAAGGATATTGTTTCCATTGCTTTTCAGAGAGAGGAAGGTGGGGACAGAGAGAGAGAAACGTAGATGTGAGAGAAACCTGTAACCTAAGTACATGCCCTTGACCGGGAATTGAGCCTGTGACCCTTCAACCCTAGGGCAGATGATCTAACCACTGAGAAACACACCAGCCAGGGCGAGTTTGTATATATATATAATCATAGCCTTGTTAAACTTATTCTAATTATTTGTAGATTCTTTGAAATTTTTTACATTTGCTATCACATTTTCATATATTTTGTAGATGGTAATGGCTTTGTTTATCTTTTTATGTAATCCTTTAACTTTTTCCCTCTTTGTCTGACTGACTGCTCTGGCTAAGACCTCCATTACAAGACTGAACAGAATTGGTGATACCGGGCATTCAATGATCAGATTAACAACTTCCCTTCTAGTTTTCTAAAAGATTTTTTTAAATCACAAGTGGCTGTTGATTTCATCATGTGCTTTCCCTGTATTCACTGAGATGAGTATGTGATTTATTTCTTTAATCTATTAATATGATTAATAAAGTGAATGTATTTTCTATTATCAAGCTCCCTTTAAATTTCTGACATAAATTCAAGTTAATCTTGGATATTTTATCTTTTTTTTCTTTTTTTTGCACATTGATTCAGTTTGCTAGTGTTTTATTGAAGATTTTTGTATCTTTGTTAAGTGAGATTGGCCTGTAATTTTCCTTTCTAGTATTTCCCTTTTCTTGTTGAGTTATCAAAGTAATTCTGGCCCATGAGTTTCTTTCCTATTTTCTGGAAAAGTTCATACAGGATTAAAATGATGTGCACTTTGAAAATTTGGTGCAACTTGCCTGTATGATGTCATTCTTAACGTTTTCTCTTCATCTCACACCACACATCTAAACCATTTGCAAATTCTGTTCACTCTAGCTTTAAATTAAAATCAGAACCCAAAACTACTTCTCACCCCCACAGCCATTATGCCACCACCATCTCTCTCCTGGATGATTGCGGTAGTGTCTCTCTCTTTCTCTCTCTCTCTCTCTCTCTCTCTCTCTCTGTATTTTTTTTTTAAATTGATTTCAGAGAGAAAGGGAGAGGGAAAGAGAGATATAAACATCAGTGATGAGAGAGAGTCATCAATTGGCTGCCTTCTGCATGCCTTACACTGGGGGATTGATCCTGCAACCAGGGCATGTGCCCTGACCAGGAATCCAGCCATGACCTCCCATGACCATGACCTCCTGGTTCATAGGTTAAAGCTCAACTACTGAGCCACGCTGGCCAGGCTTCAGTAGCCTCTTAATTGAACTTGTTGCTTCTGTTCATGCATCCATAATGACATTTAAACATTTTTAAAAATTGATTTGAGAGAGAGAGAGAGAGAAAGACATCGATTTGTTCCATTTTTTTGTTTGTTTGTTTGTTTTTAATCCTTACCGGAGGATATTTTTTCCATTGGTTTTTAAAGAGAGTGAAGGGAGCCCTAATCGGTTTGGCTCAGAGCGTCAGCCTGCGGACTCAAGGGTCCCAGGTTCGATTCTGGTCAAGGGCATGTTCCTTGGTTTCGGGCACATCCCCAGTAGGGAGTGTGCAGGAGGCAGCTGATCGATGTTTCTCTCTCATCGATGTTTCTAACTCTCTAACCCTCTCCCTTACTCTCTGTAAAAAAATCAATAAAATATATTAAAATTAAAATAAAGAGAGTGGAAGAGAGAGAGGAAGTGTGTTGGGGGGGGGGGGGGGACGGGAACAAACATCTGATGTGAGAGAGACACATGGATTGGTTGCCTCCTGCACCAAGGGGGAGGGGATCCAACCTGTAACCCAGGTAGTGCCCTTGAACCAGGGAATCAAACCAGCGACCTTTTGGTTTGCAGGCGGATTTCTAATCTTTGAGCACCATCGGCCATGGGTGTTCCACTTTAAAATATATATATATATTTCTTTATTGATTTCAGAGAGGAAGGGAGGAGAGAGAGATAGAAATATCAATGATGAGAGAGAATCATTGATGAGCTGCCTCCTGCACACCCCCGCTGGGGATTGAGCCTGCAACCCAGGCATGTGCCCTTGGCCGGAATGGAACCTGGGACCCTTCAGTCCGAAGGCTGATGCTCTATCCACTGAGCCAAGCTGGCTAGGGCATATTCCACTTATTTATGCATTTATTGGTTGCCTCCGTAGGTGCCCCCACCAGTTCTCAAACCCGAAAGGTTTTGGTGTACGGGAGGACACTGAACCCCCGCGCCAGGGCTGACCAAGAAACGTTAAACACAACCACTGGATACCTGCCTGAGACCAAAGCTCCCTTTGCGTTTAGCGTCTAGCCATGGCCCACAATAAAGTTTTATTGAAACAAAGCAGGGGGAAAAAAAAGGTGCCCGTCAGTCTTTCCTCACCAACCAATCAGAGAGTAGAATGCTTATGTCGCTCACAGGAGCTCCCCCAGTCGGAAGACGGGAGCGGGGACACGTCCCGCCCCAGACCCGCCTGCTAAGAGCGGAAGTACGGCCGGAAGTCAGCCATAGAGTTGAGCCGCCAGAGCGACCCTGAAGGGCGGTGGCAGGAAAGACTCGGAACGGCTGCCGGAGGTGACGGAGCGGCGGCCCCGCCCGGCGATCGGGAAGACGAAGCTCCAGGTAGCGGCCCGCAGAGTCTAACCGAGGGTACGACGCGGCAAGCTGCGGGAGCCCACAGTCTCTGGGCGGCCTCTTTAAGGGAGGGGGCGGAGCCACGCGGCAGGACCGGAGGGTGAGGTCACGTGGCGGGGGGCACTTGCGGGGCACAGTGGAGATTAGAAGGAGCGTTGTCGTTGGGGTGGAGACCATGTGACACCCCTTCCCCCACTGCATCCTGTGCCTGGGGGTTCAGCGGGCTGTACGCGGTAGGGCTTGGGGTTAGGCCCAGGGGTGGGGGGCGGGCAGACTGGGCGTGGCGACCCTGTCTCGGCCTGGCATCCTTCAAGGTGTGGCGGATTTGACGATTCCTGGATCCAAGATGTTGACGGCTCCCTCTCTGACTCCCCGTTGCAGAAGGGATTCTGTGCCTCTGCAGTCAGCCCTAGCCCTGTGCTTCTTACCCTCCCAATGTCCGGGGACCTCCAGCTTCACATCCTCTCTCCTTGCAGCTCCAGACATCCTGAGCCCAGGTCCCCCCAGCTCAGTGCAGCCATGAGTGCCGAGGTGAAGGTGACAGGGCAGAACCAGGAGCAATTTCTGCTCCTGGCCAAGTCGGCCAAGGGGGCAGCGCTGGCCACACTCATCCACCAGGTGCTGGAGGCCCCTGGTGTCTACGTGTTTGGGGAACTGCTGGATATGCCTAATGTTAGAGAGGTGGGTTCCTGGCCTGGATAGCCCACCGGGAAGCTTGGGGCTCACGTTTGAATTTGAGGTGGGTGGGCAGGACTCACTTTGCAACCCCATAACCATTCACTTGAACAATATCAGGATGATGATTAACTGGCATCTTGCAGGAGTATGTACACAAGTAAACTCTTACTTTCCCTTTGAGGATGAATGATCTGTGAAACCCAGTATTTTTTTTTAAGTATTTTTTTGATTTTAGAGAGGGAGGGAGAGAGAGATAGAAACATCAATGATGAGAGAGAGTCATTGATGGGCTGCCTCCTGCATGCCACCTGCAACCTGGGCATGTGCACTTGACTGGAACTGAACCTGGGACCCTTCAGTCCACAGGCCAATGCTCTATCCATTGAGCCAAACTGGCTAGGGCATATTTTTTATTTCTAAGCAAAAGAGCATGTGATTCAGAATAGGAGACCAGATTCCAGCTTGTCTCCACCAATGTAATAGCTCTTAATAATCATGTCACCTTGATCAGGTCACTTTTATTTTAGGGTCTCAGTGTTCTCTTTTAAAAATGGAGCTGTGCCCTGGCTGGATAGCTCAGTTGGTTAGAGCTTGTCCAGATATGTCATGGTGTGGGTTTGATCCCTGGTCATGGCAAATACAAGACTCAACCAATGACTGCATAAATAAATGGAACAACAAATAGAAAAAAGAAATAAATAAAAAATGGAGCTGATACTGCTCTTCAGCATTGCTGTAGAAATCAGGTGAGATTATTGGAAAGTGTAAAGTCTGGTACAAATGGAAGGAATGAATGTGAAATTGGCATACCCTGCCCCCCCCCCCCCCCCTTGCACCATCACTTAAGTTAGATCATGTAGAAGGTATCTTTTCCCCAAAGACATGTGGCAAGGTGCTAGAAACACAGTAGAAAGAACTATTCACACAGAAGTGGTAGAGTTAAGAGTTTACAATCCACAGGGGGTAGATTGCCAAGATGTATGAAACCAGCCCAAGTCCTGAGCTGCTATGACAGTGGTATGTGGGAAACTATGAATTAAGTTGTCAATGGCCAGTGACTGAGTCAGTGGATTTAGTCTTTTGGGATCACTCTGTGGTATAGAGAAAACTGGCTGCCTTCTTTCCCTGCTTTCCTCTGCAATGGAGCTAAACAGAGTCAGTCAAGGTGAAGAAAAGTATTTATTGGATGCCTGTTGTCTGGGAATGCCAGGAAAGTAGTCAAAGACAACAGTACTTCTGAAGCTTTCATTTCAGTTAGAGATCAGATGAATGGATATACATATACAAATCATTTATTCAGCAAGTTATTTATTGAGAGCGACAACTACATGCTTAGCTCTGCTTGACCTAAGAGGGATACCAAAGACTGGGCCTGTCATCTTGTTGAAGAGAAAGATATTCTTAGGTAACAACCTTAGGCAGGTTTTGATTAAGTGTCAGAATGAGTGATCAGGGATAGGAGGAGAGGAGATATGGGTGGGCTGGCCTGGGTGATGAAAGCCTGGTGAAGCAGGTCTGAAGCAGAGGCCACAAATTCCAATGGCTGCCTAGGCCATGCAGCTGGCAGAGATGAGTGAGGCTGAGGCAGGAATCTGGTGAATTGGGGAGTATAGCAGACTGCCTAAAGAAAATCAGATTTACAAATATACACACTAAATTTACAAATAAAAAACACCATTTGCAATGTCTGGTGCATGCGTGTGTGTGTGTGTGTGTGTGTGTGTGTGTGTGTGTATGAGAGAGAGAGAGAGAAAGAGAGAGAGAAATGTTGAACACTGAATGTTCTCAACTATGAATTTAGGGTAGGAATTGGAGGCTAGGGAGGCAGAGGGCATTGTGATTGGGGGGAGTAGTATAAACAAAGGCCTGGAGGTAGAAATGAGGCTTTCCTATGCGGACAGTGATCAGAGAGGCAGAGTTCCTTTCAGTGAGCCTGGAGAGCTAATGGAAGGGAATGGTGGGGCCAGGAAGTGGGATTCAAAGCAGGGTAAGGCAGGGAGAAGGGTGAATAGAGGCCCTTCCTGTCATCTCTTCCCTCATATTCTTGCAGCTGGCTGAGAGCGACTTCGCTTCCACATTCCGCCTGCTCACGGTGTTTGCTTACGGGACATATGCTGACTACTTAGGTAACCAGGGGGGCTGGAGCTCGGGAGTAGTGGGGGTGGGAGAAGGGCAATTTCTGGAGGGACTTCAGAGAAATTCCCGAGATATCCTACTTAGATCCCTTAGGTACACAGGGTCAAGGTCAAGACCTGAATCGGCATGGAAAACTTGAAAAAAAATGCAAGGGACAGAGGCTAGGCCTTCCCACAAAAAGGAAATCAGGGTGTTCTACTTTGTCCTTTTTTTCCAGCTGAAGCCCGGAATCTTCCCCCACTCACAGAGGCTCAGAAGAATAAGCTTCGACACCTATCAGTCGTCACCCTAGCTGCCAAAGTCAAGGTGAGTGACAGTCCCCCAGTCGTGAGCCACAGAGCATCCTTTTGTATGTCCCTTCACAAGGGCCATCTGAAGGGAATTTGTACTGGGACAGCCTTTGATACACTGTTGCTTCTTCCTGCCTTCCCCTCCACATTCTTCCTAGATCTGTATCTAAACTCCATCATCTGCAGCCTTTTTAGGCTGAGTATTTTTCTCTTAGCTGTCTGTTTTGTTTTTATTTTTCAATCAACTTTAAGTTCTAAGTAAAACATCTTTTGTGTGTGGGGTCAAAATAGCAACTGGGATGCCACTCGCTATTTTACAAGGATCACCCTCCTTCCCACCATAGAACGGCCCATGCAAACAGCCTCCAGGCTCAGGGCTGGGAACAAGGCTCTCTCTTCTGGTGAAGTGCTAGACTTCTATTCTAGAATAAGTGTTTATGTGTGTTTTTTGTTGTTGTTAAATATTCCCCTCCTGTCCATTTGCACTCTCCCAATCATTACGAGACTCTACCATCATTCTAATAATTTTACTTAAGTCGGGCTGCCTCTTGTGAGAAGCCTTTTTGGAAGTATGCTGAGTATAAATGGTAACAGTAACTCTAGACTTCTCCCACACCACATACTTCCATTATGTCAAGCTTCAAGCTGATCTTGAGCAAGGTCTGTACACTACCCTGAGCTTTGGCCAGAGGATTGACACCCGGGCAGATAATCACTTTCTTCCTCTGGTGTGAGAGGTAAGGGTGATAGGAGAGCACAAGTCGTATATGTTATTTAAGATAGCCCTTCTCATGCTGTTACTTTTCAGGCAGTAATACTTCTATTTATTTTGTGGTAGAACCAACCTTTTAGAAGAAATGATTTAGGAATAGGAGTGGAGGGTAGGCAGGTGAGCCTAGGCGGGGGAAAGGAGTGAAGAATCTTGGAAGTCCTTCTCCATGGCAGAGCCTCACAAATCCCAGCCCGACCTCCCCGGCTCCAGTGTATCCCATATGCAGTGTTGCTGGAGGCCCTTGCCCTGCGTAACGTGCGGCAGCTGGAAGACCTTGTCATAGAGGCCGTGTATGCCGACGTGTTACGTGGCTCCCTGGACCAGCGCAATCAGCGGTTGGAGGTTGACTACAGCATTGGACGGGACATCCAGCGCCAGGACCTCAGTGCCATTGCCCGAACCCTACAGGAGTGGTGAGACCTGTGTCCTGGCACTGTCCCTTCTCTTTCACCCCACGCAGGGGAGAGGTGCTTTGGAGGGTGAGGGCTGGGCGGCAGAGGTGGAATTCAAGAGGATGAAGGGAAATGAGCTTGTTCCTTCTGAGAGAAGACAGGAGTGGAGGGGCTTGGGAAGCAGAGACAGGAGATGGTGTCCTTAGTGTCATAACTGGGGAGGGAAAGGTGAGCTGTACTCTTGAGAGGATCCTCACTGGGAAGTTGGTTACTTTAGGCTGGATTCAACCCATTAGTCTGTAACCAGCACTGTCCACAGGCCCTGGGCCTCTTCCACTTCTGCTTTCTCTAACTTTAATTAGTACACCTTTAATTTCTCTTTAGCAGCCCCTATCCCACTTTGGTTTTGAGTTCCTACTCCCGTTTTGCACATCACTCCATTCACTTCCTTATACTTCTCTAATCCTACCTGAGTGTCCTTCTGGCTCCTGGGAATATTGTTGCAGGTGGTTTCCAGATGCCCTGGTGAGGGTTCCTAACTCAGACAAGGATTTGCATAGCAGGATCTAGGGTTCTTTCTGGGTCTATTTTTAGTGAGTCTGTGATCACAGCTCTCTTCTGCTGACACTTCTCTCCTCATTCCTGCAGGTGTGTGGGCTGCGAGGTAGTGCTGTCAGGCATTGAGGAGCAGGTGAGCCGTGCCAACCAGCACAAGGAGCAGCAGCTGGGCCTGAAGCAGCAGATTGAGAGTGAGGTGAGCTGTCAGGGGAGTGAGACAGACCCAAGCTCCTTCAGCCGGGGCCAGTTGTCAAATGCAGAGGGGTTTGGACAGTGGCTGTAGCAGACAAACAAGGTGGGCAGGACTGTCAGGTTCTGGAACTTTCCTTGTTATCCCCCACTCCTTTCATCCTGGTAGGTCGCCAACCTTAAAAAAACCATTAAAGTTACAACAGCAGCAGCAGCCGCAGCCACATCTCAGGACCCTGAGCAACACCTGACTGAACTGAGAGAACCAGCTGCTGGCACCAACCAACGCCAGCCCAGCAAGAAAGCCTCAAAGGGCAAGGGGTGAGCCAGTGTGGCAGGAATTGCTCGCTTCCGGGGTGCCCTGCTTTTTCTTCAGAGACCTGGCTGTCTTCACTCCCTTTAGTCATTTGCAGGGGGTAGGGAATGGGGGGAACCTTCAGGGATTAGGGGATTCCTTGCAGCTTCTCTCTCTTTCTTCTCCTTGCCAGGCTCCGAGGGAGCGCCAAGATTTGGTCCAAGTCGAACTGAAGGGACTGTCGCTTTTTTCCTCTGGGGATACGGGGTCCCAGCTGCCTGGCTGCCCCTTAGGAGTCCTCAGAGAGCCTTCCTGTGCCCCTGGCCAGCTGATAATTCTAGGTTCATGACCTTTCATCTCTCTTCTGTCCCCCACCCCAAGTATAGATCACACCTTCTCTAGGGAGGAGGCAAGTACAAGTCATGTTTTGTTGGTACTTTTTGTTTTATGTGACTTTCTTATGTGTCCCATTGTCCCCCTCCCCTTCCCTACCATGCTCTCTCTCCTATATTTTTAAGAGACAGCACTGCCCTTGTTTATTATATGTCATTGAGTAGGTGGGGCTGCTGGTCTCCAATAAACCCACATGTGATCCTTGTCCTACCACCCCACCCCTGCATGACTAATCCCCGATTCCTACTCCCTACCCCCAGCCTATTTGGGCAGCATCTACAGAGCCATAGGGCTCCCATCTCTGTTCCCACCCTGAAAGTTCTGGGAGCTAGTCTGCCATTCTAGGAGTCACTGGACACTTTCATCCTCAAATTTTGTCGTTTCTTTTCACCTCCCCTTGGGTCCTGGGAATGCTGCTGCTTCAATGACCCCAGAGCCTAAGAAGGGCAGCTGTTTCTCGAGATGTTGAGAGATAGTTCTTTCTTGGCCCTGGCTATCTTAGAAAGCCTGATGGCAAACCTGGAAGAATTTATACTTCCTTTTTGTGAGTTTTATGGAGAAGGAAAGGGGATATAGATTGTATTAAAAAAGAAAAGTATACATATATATATATATCTATATATAACGTAACACAAAAATAAATCTATGAGAAGTCTTATCTGTAAGCATGCCCTGAACTGGGTATCTTCTGTCTTTGTTATTTGTGGATGGGAAGAATGTTCGTTCCCAGTCCACTCTACAGCATGGTGCTGGAAAATGAAGAGAACCAGATACTTTGTGCTGAGTCTTGGCCTACATGACTTTGGACAGATTGCTCAGTAGCTCAGCATTCGTTCCGAAGCAGTGGATACTTCGTGAGCACCAACATGTGACAGGCACTGGAGATGCAAAGAGATGATCACTGTCCCAGTCCTCAAGGAGCTGGAGTTCAGCCTGTTTCCTTCCACCTTAAAGAATTATAAGGGGAAGATTGACAGTACACTTCAGTTTTTGCATCAGAACCACAGAGCTCAGAGCTTCCCTAGCATTGTACTGAGAGGACTGGTCTTGGCCTAGTGCACTGTTGTGCATTCCCTGGAATTGGGAAGCACTAGTGTAAGGGATGGTTGCCCACCCCCCACCCCCCCACACACAATTGCATGTGAAGCAGTTGCCTCCAGAGGGTCCCAGATCTTGTGCTATTCTCTAGATGGAGATTTAGGACAGACCATTCTATTGGTCCTAAAGGTGTCAGTCACAGACCTAGAAAGTGGGGTGGAATTCTGAGTTTTTTATTAAAGTGGTCTGGGTAAGCATATTGTCTTGAGGTTGCTATGGAGACTTAATGGGACCAATCCAAAGAGCCCTACTTCAGGAGTTAACACTCCTGGCTTCTCATTTTAGCTTTTCCCTAGACAAGCATATTAAGCCTGTTGCATCTTGATTCTCAGTCTCTACCTCTGAAATAAACCCTTTCTTCCTCCCACACCTTCTAATGTATAGAAGTTGCTCATTCCTAGTGCTTTAAACCTGTCTCCCCTTCCTCTGCCCATGCCCGTTTTTCTCTTGAACTTAGACATTTTCCTGCAAGCTGGTTGCAGCTAATGGCTCCATAACTTCCTGACCTCTCTAGCTCCATCCTTTAGTGCAGCGGTTCTCAACCTGTGGGTCGCGACCCCTTTGGCGGTCGAACGACCCTTTCACAGGGGTCGCCTAAGACCATCCTGCATATCAGATATTTACATTACGATTCATAACAGTAGCAACATTATAGTTATGAAGTAGCAACGAAAATAATTTTATGGTTGGGGTCACAACATGAGGAACTGTATTTAAAGGGCCAGGGGACCCTTCCCCCATCCCTAGGTGGGAGTCTGTACTTGTTCTTCAATAAATCTCCATCTAAAAAAAAATCGCCGAAACCGGTTTGGCTCAGTGGATAGAGCGTCGGCCTGCGGACTGAAAGGTCCCAGGTTCGATTCCGGTCAAGGGCATGTACCTGGGTTGCGGGCACATCCCCCGTAGGAGATGTGCAGGAGGCAGCTGATCGATGTTTCTCTCTCATCGATGTTTCTAACTCTCTATCTCTCTCCCTTCCTCTCTGTAAAAAATCAATAAAATATATTTTTAAAAAAAATAAAAAATAAAAATAAATAAATAAATAAAGGGCCAGAAGGTTGAGAACCACTGCTTTAGTGGATGGCTCTAGAGCAGTGGTTCTCAACCTTCCTAATGCCGCGACCCTTTAATACAGTTCCTCATGTTGTGGTGACCCCCAATTTCATTGTTACAAATTGAACATAATTAAAGCATAGTGATTAATCACAAAAACAATATGTAATTATGTATGTGTTTTCCAATGGTCTTAGGGGACCCCTGTGAAAGGGTCGTTCGACCCTCAAAGGGGTCATGACCCACAGGTTGAGAACTGCTACTCTAGAGTCTTGTGCTGGGCTGGGACTGCCTGGCTAAATATCCAAAGAAGGAGGGGGACCCTTCACAGCCTCAGGGACATGCAAATGCAATTTGTCTTTGATTTGCAAAGATGGGCTCTTGGCTACCAAGGCATGGAGAAGAGGGAGTAGAGTATTTGTGGACTCAGTTTTTGAGCATGAAATTTGGTTCAGGATTTAGGGATTCCATGTATAAATAAGCCCAGGGCACCAGGAAAATCTTCCTAACCAAGAATCTTATCACCACTTGCACACACTCACACACTCATCCCTAACGTACAGCAATCTTAAATGACCTCAGGGCTGGACCACTATAGTAAGAGGAGGAGGAAGAGAACTTGCTTTCATGAGAATTCAGAGTTCATGCACATGAGACAGATGACACTTAAAAGATTAAACCAAAGTCTCTGAAGCTAAAAACAGCGGTTGGACTGGTGCCTATCCTCATGCACAAGAAAAACAGACAATGTCTACAGTCAGTGTTTTGTGAAATCCTGTTAGAGAAGAAATTCTCCCCTTAGGTGCATCTTCCAACATGAGTGGAAAGAAAGGCATGTAGAGAGACAAATCTAGGCAGTGTATTATATATTACTGTGTACAAATTATCCCAAAACTTAGTGGCTTAAAACCACACATTTATTAACTCAGTTTCTGTTTTGGGATTTGGCACAACTGAGCTGAGTTTTCTGCTTTAGGGTCGCTCACAGGCTACAAACAGTGCTCATTAGGGCCATATTATTTCAAGGTTCCAATGGGAAGGACTTGATTCCCAGCATGCTCAGGGATTGTCCGCAGGATTCACTGCTTCAGAGGTGGATGGACTGAGGACCTCATTTCCTGCTGACTTGGTTAGAGGCCATCCAGGTGGCCTCCATCAGAGCAGGAGACCACATCAGCAAGGTGAAATAACAATTATCTTTCTATGATAATTGCTAATAATACAAGCTAGTATTTATAAGTGTTTACTATAATCAAGCAGTATCCTAAGTGCTTTATGTATATAAACACTTAATTTACACAAGGACCTTCTGAGATTGTATGATTACCCACTGCTCAAGATGACAAAAGAGGTATGAAGATTATGTAATTTGCCCAGGGTCACACAAATTAGAAGTGGAGAAGGCACACCTCACCCTGTCTTCCATGCTCCTAAATGCATGGAGCAGCTAGCTATCTGAGATCTCAGAGAAGTAAATGGTAGCAGAGAGAAAAAACAAAATTCAAAGTTCCACTAAAAAATGGTGAGTTCACCATTTTTCCTCCTCCAGTATCATCCAAAATGGACTCAAAGGCAGCCAAAACCAGAAATGAACATCAGATGTGAACTGAAAGAACTCTTCTTGGAACCCTGTATTGCAGGTGTGAGGAGCAGAAAGGGACTCCTAAGAGGTAGATTGGGGGAAACCCCATTTTCTTTTTTTATATATTTTATTGATTTTTTTAGAGAGGAAGGGAGAGGGATAGAGAGAAACATTGATGAGAGAGAAACATTGATCAGCTGCCTCCTGCACACCTCCTACTGGAAATGTGCCCGCAACCAAGGTACATGCCCTTGACCCGAATTGAACCTGGGACCTTTCAGTCTGCAGGCCGACGCTCTATCCACTGAGCCAAACTAGTTAGGGCGGAAACCCCATTTTCTTTTTTCCTTTCTTCTACCTCCAGCCCCAAGCACACCATGGTGGTGATAGCTGCAACAGTGACAGCAAGAGTGGCTGAGCAGGCACTTGAAATTCTGAGAGGAGAATCCCTATCTCTGACCAGAAGAGTTGTGGTCCCACAAGTGTGAGTCAGATCCCTTGTGCTTTTTTCTTTCTCTGTTCTCTTGAGGCTTAGCCCAGACATAGTGGGAAATGCCTAGCAGACTAGAGAAAATAAAATTCCAACTTTTGGTCAGAGGATTGGGACGGGAAGCCCCCAGAGAACCAGATAGGTCATAGGAGGAAATTCAAGAGAACAGTCCTACAGAATTATGTGTTAACTCCTGTGCTCATCTCTGAGTAGCACAAGCATGGATCTGACCCTAAATAGCTTGCCAAAGCTTTGTGAACTGAGCAACAGGATGGACCACTGTCCAAGTCTTACCAGCCACTGGGTGGAACACATGTAGAGCTGATCCAAATACCACCACAAAATTAAACTGATAATGGAAGCACAATGCAAAGAAGGCAAGTTGCTGCCTGAGCCCAACCTGATTAATTGCCTGTAAAAACAAACAACATTCTCCTTAGGATCTTAACAAGATCTACAGTCAATATTCGAAATATCCAGGATAAAATATAAAATTATGCAGCATACAAAGAAATCTCCAGGGAAAAGACAACCAACCCAAGATGACAGAGGTGTTAGAATTGAAAGCAAAGATTTCAAAGCAGTTAATAAAACCACATTGGAAGAAGAAAGGGAGAATTTCTTAAAACAAATGGCAAGATAGGAAGTTTCAGCCAAGAAATAGAAGATATAAAGAAGAACCAATGGACATTTTGAACTGAAAAATAGAAATAACCAAAATAAAATAGTCACTGGATAGGTTTATTAGCAGAAAGGAGAAGACAGAGGAACAAGTGAGTTTGAAGGTAGATCATTGTAAATTATGTATTCTAAAACAACAGACAAAAATTTGTTTAAACAAACCACACCAGAGCCACGGGAACCTGTGGGACAACACTAAAAGGTCTAATATTCATGTCAACAGTGTCCCAGAAGTTGAGAAAATGTGAAATAGAAAAGTTATTAGAAGAAATAGCTAAAAAATCCCAAATTTGGCCCAGCCATTGTGGTTCAGTGGTTGAGCATTGACTTATGAACCGGGAGGTCACGATTTGATTCCTGGTCAGGGCACATGCCCAGGTTTCAGGATCCCCAGTGGGGGGTGTGCAGGAGGCAGCTGATCGATGATTCTGTCTCCCTCTCCCTTCTTCTCTGAAATCAATTAAGTAGAGATAGTGGAACTATGAGCAATGTACCAAACAGAAACAAATAATAAAATTATAGAAATAAATGCAAACATTAATAATGATATTAGACATAAATAGCCTAAATGCAACACTTAAAAGATAAGTTATCAAAATGAATTTTAAAAATCAACTATATGCTGCCCTTGAAAATCCATTTTTAAGTATGACACAGGTGGGTTAAAAGTAAAAGGATTGGTGTCCCTGTTGTTTTAGAGTACATAATTTATAGGGTAGGTAAGTTGGTTAGAGTGTTGTCCTGACACACCAATGTTGCAGGTTTGATCTCCAGTCAGGGCACATACAAGAAGCGACCAGTAAATGCATAAATAAGTGGAACAACAGATCAATGTTTCGCTCTCCCTCTCACTTCAATAAAAAAATAAAGTTCAGCCCTAACCGGTTTGGCTCAGTGGATAGAGCGTCGGCCTGCGGACTGAAAGGTCCCAGGTTCAATTCCGGTCAAGGGCATGTACCTTGGTTTCGGGCACATCCCCAGTAGGAGGTGTGCAGGAGGCAGCTGATAGATGTTTCTCTCTCATCAATGTTTCTAACTCTCTATCCCTCTCCCTTCCTCTCTGTAAAAAATCAATAAAATATATTAAAAAAATAAAGTTCAGCCTAGCTGGTGTGGCTCAGTGGTTGAGCATCGACCCATGCACCAAGAGGTCACAGGTTTGATTCCTGGTAAGGGCACATGCATGGGTTGCAGGCTCAATCCTCAGTAGGGTTCATGCAGGAGGCAGCCAATCAATGATTCTCTTTCATCATTAATGTTTCTTCTCTCTCCCTCTTCCTTCCTCTCTGAAATCAATAAAAATATGTTTTTTAAATAAATAGAGCAAAAACTGATAGATGTCAAAAGAAAAATGGGCAGATTACAATTGTAATTGAAAATTTCAGGCCCTGACCGGTTTGGCTCAGCGGAGAGAGCGTCGGCCTGCGGACTGAAGGGTCCCGGGTTCAATCCCGGTCAAGGGCATGTACCTTGGTTGCGGGCACATCCCCAGTGGGAGGTGTGCAGGAGGCAGCTGATCGATGTTTCGCTCTCATCGATGCTTCTAACTCTCTATCCTTTCCCTTCCTCTCTGTAAAAAATTCAATAAAATGTTTTAAAAAAAAGGAAAAAAAAGAGAAAATTTCAAAACTCTTTTCTCAGTAATCAACAGAACAAGTAAACAGAAAATGACCAAATATATAGAAGTATATAAAACCGAATGATACCATTAGCCAAGAGAATCTAATTGAAATTTATGGAACACTCCCCCAACACAGAAGAATACACTTTTTACTTTCAAGTGTGCATTGAACATTTACTGAGATATACTGTCCTGTGTTATAAAATTCAACAAATTTAAAGAATCAAAGTCATACAAACTATGTTTTCTGACCATAATGAAATTATAAGTAGAAATCAATAACAGAAAGCTAGCAGGGAACTCTCCAAACATTTGGAAACTAAACACATTTCTAAATAACCGATGGATCAAAGAGAAATTAGAAAATATTGTGAACTTAATAAGAAATATATAAAACTAGAGGCCCAGTGCATGAAATTCGGGTAGGGTAGGGTCCCTATGCCTGACCTGATACCAGGGCCCATCAGGTTCCCCACCTCCCTGCCTCCTCCTTCCCTTGCTCCCTCAGCGCCCCACCACCACTGCAGCTGGTCTCCCGCCATGTTCCGCACCGCCTCCTGGTGGTCAGTGCACATCATAGCGAGCGAGCAAACTCCCAATCTGGTTGAACTCCCGAGAGGACAATTTGGATATTAGCCTTTTATTATATAGGATACCAAAATATATTGGATGCAGCTAAAACAGTGACTAAGGGAAAAATCATAGTATGAAATGCTTATATTAGAAAAGAAGAAAAGTCTGAAGTCAATCTACATTTGTACTTTGAAAAGGTATATAAAGAATTGGAGAAATAAACACAAAGCAAGCAGAAGAAAAACAAGAGCAGCAATTAGTGAAATTGAAAACAGAAAAATAGAAAAAGTCAATGAAACTAAAAGTTGATTATTTAAAATGATCAATAAAATTAATAAACCTCTAGCCATACTGATAAAAGAGAATAGAGAAGACATAAATTTCTAATATCAGGAATAAAAGAGAAGATACCACTACAAACCCCACAGATATTAAAAAGTCAATAAGACCTAGCTGGTTTGACTCAGTGGATAGAGCCCGCGGGACTGAAGGGTCTTGGGTTCGATTCTGGTCAAGGGCATATGCCCAGTAGAGAGCGTGCAGGAGGCAGCTAATCAATGATTCTCTCACTGATGTTTCTCTCCCTCTCCCTTACTCTCTGAAACCAATAAAAATATATTTTAAAAATTAAAAAGTTAAGGGAATATGACACATAAATTCAACGACTTAGATGAGATGGATCAACTCCTTGAAAGCTACAAGCTACCAAAACTCACCCAAGGAGAGAAAGATGTAAAAATATACAATTATAAACCTTTTAGAAGATAAAATAGGAGAAAATCTTAGTTTCTGGAATTAGCAAAGTGTTCTTAGATGCCACACCAAAAATGTTAATTCATAAGAGAAAAAAAGTGGTAAGTTGGACTTCATTAAAATTCAGAACTTTTACTTGGGGGGAGAAAAAGTCAAGAAAAGGAAAAGACAAGCTACAGAATAGGGAAAAAAATACATGTAAATCCCTATCTAACAAAGAGCTAACCAGAATATATAAAGAGCCCTAAAAACTCAACAGTAAGAAAATAAACAAGCCAATTTTGAAAAATGGCTGACTTACACACTTTATTAATGAGACTGTAATGATGGCAAATAAGCACATGAAAAGATGCTCAACATCATTAGTCACCAGGGAAATACAAATTAAAATCATGATGCGATATCTATTAGAATAAATAGAGTACTTACACACCCAATAGAATGGGTGAAATAAAGTACTTGACAATACCAACTGCTTGCAAGGAGGCAAAGCAACTGGAACTCTTGCTTTGCTGGTAGGAATACAAAATGGCGCAGCTACTCAGGAAAACAGTTTATCATTTTCTTATAAAGTTAAATATACACTTACCATCTGACCTAGCAATCCCACTCCATTTCATTCTAAAGAAACAAACTTATGTTCACACAAAAACGTATATAGGAATGTTTATAGCAACTCTTTTCATAATTGCCAAAAACTGGTGAATGGATAAACAGACAATAACCAGTAGAATACAACTCAGCAATAAAAAGGATCGAACTATTAATACATACAACATCATGAGTGAATCTCAAGGGCTAAATAAAGCCGAATGAAAGAGCCACTCTCAAAAGGTTACATGCTATATGACTTCATCATACAACATTCTGGAAAGGCAAAACTCTAGCAATGGAGAACAAATCAGTGGTAGCCAAGGGTTAGGATTGGAGGAAGGGTGTGACTACAAAGAGCAGCAGGAGAGGGTTTGGGGGTAATGGAACTGTTTTTATCCTGATTGTATTGGTTTACCCAAATCTATTATGTGTTAAAACTCACAGAAACTGTACACACAGCAGCTTTACTGTATGTAAAAACAAATACAAGATTAAAAAAACATGTACTGGGCTACTGGCAATCCATCGTTTTAAAACTATGCTGTTGGGTAAATTTAATATAAATTTTTTAAAAACTTTAAATCACTGAGGAACTTTTCATTTAAAGGAGTCCCCATTGTGAGTCATTCTGTACAGCATGTTAGTATCATTTGTGTCAATCTGGATTTTGAGTCCTGGCTCTTGCAGTGCTACTAGGTAGCTATATGATGTTCAACGAGTCACCTGTTCCACAGTAAAATAGGAGCTGGGGTTTGGATATCTGTAATTGTTGCTAAGCTACCTTGGAATCCTCTCCAACCTCAAGATTCTGCTTTAGTAGGCTGGGGTGGTAATTCTGACCTGCTGGCACATTTGGGAACATACAGAGGTGATCTCTAAGGTCTCGTTCAACTCTAAAATTATATCATATACTTAGTTTGCTTAAATCAAGGGCTATCTGTATTGGGAATCGGTTTCTGTCCTAACCTGCCACATTCTCTGTGAATTGGGAACCCACCCCCCACCCAGATCCCACCAGTAGTTTTCTAAGAGCCTAGCTTTGCTAACTTTCCTCAAACCATTTTCCACCTGTGTCACTTTGACTTTTCCAAGGTATTTCTGCTCCCTCTTTTAGAGACTCAGTCCCACATCTCTAGCCCTTTCCCATGCCCCCTTCTCTCCCCTCCTCCAGCTTCATGTATCCAAATGTCCTTCGCCTCAGACCCCACAGACATATGGCTGACATCCTGGATGGAGAACACTGACATCTTGGGGATAATTGTCCAGAACCTGTAAGTTCTCCAGTTGGCAGGTGACAGGCTAGATGAAGAGGATGGGACGGATGCTGGGGCAGCACCCCATTCTCCAAAAGATAAGGTCTTCAGGGACGATGAGAAGAATCATAAAGGGCAGAGAAAGGGCAAGGAATTCTGACCTCACCTCAGGGACAGTCTAGAGGACAAGGACCTGGGCCCAGAGCAGGAAGCACCACTGCTCCTCCTTGTCCCTGGAAATCCACTTAAGGTAGACATTGAGGCTGGGAAGGCTCAGAGCTACAGCACTCCACAGGGGGACTTTAGGCTCACCTTCCTAGCAGCTCTGCCAGCCTTCTGCATCCCAACCCCTTTAGTGATCTTCCCTCCAGCCATTCCAGCTCCATGCCCCCGCCGGTTCTCCCCAGGGATGGAGGCAAGTTGGGAGGCTCCTTACAGGAACCAGCTATACAAAGTCTACTTCTCTTATCCTTCAGCAACTCCTCTGCCCAACTGCCCTATCGTCATCTCTCCTCCTCTAGTGCAGCTTCACCTGGCTCCCACCTCTCCTATCTGAAGCCCCCCAGTGATGTCTAAGGGAGAGAAAGGGAAAGACTACTTTTTTCTTGTTCCTAGCCCAACTGGAATGGCCCGAGAGAAAGAATCCTTGACTCTTGCTGCTCCTTCAGCCTCATTCCCAGGACTGGGAGCTTAAGGGCAGGATAGGTATATAAAGTTAAATGGCCTGGAATATGTGGGCTAGGAGACCAGCCCTCGTTCTCTGGGTAGCCTGTTTATATAACTCGGGCACTGAGTAGGCGTCATTGAGTAAAAGGTGTTACTAGAACCGGAAGCCCTTTGTTAGCACAGGAGGAGGGAAAATCTCAAACTGCGAGGGGGACGGGATCAGAATGGCCCAAAACATTTCTTTCTACTTGTTGGTCTGTGAACTGAGCGATGACAGGGTGAAAGATGATAGTTGGTAGCTGGAAGAACGGAGAGCTTGAGGCTGATTCAAGGCCAGTAAGATGGAAGTTTGGTTGTGTCTGGAAGTATTTGAGGAGTCCTGTGGATGGAATCAAGGATGAGGACCACAGAGAGCACTGAAGGAACCAGACTGAGACAGAGTAACTGGGGAGAAATCAGTCATTTATATTCCATGCATTGTGTCAAAAGCTTTCTCTGTACTATCCACGTCACCACTGCCACCAGTGCCAAGAAAGGCCCATTTTACAAAACAGGAAACTGATGTTGAGAGATGAAGAATCTTCCCCAGAGTTGTAGATAACTGTTGGAACAACATATCACTGCTGAGAACTAGAGTCACAGGCCTGCGGAATAAGTGTTGGGTTGAAGGGTGGACCTCACCCAAGAGCAGGGAGCAGGGGTGAAAATTAGTTCATGTGTCTGAAAGCCAGAACCCAAATGGGAGAGCTTGTGAAACACTGGAGTGACTCACCTGGATGGCAATAAGGGCAGCCTTTGCCCTGCTACAGCCCCTACTCAGAACTACACCCATGTGTGGGTGCTGGCACAGAAATTCAGGTTGAGATTGGGCACTGCTGTAGCCTAAGATTTTGTAGCTAGAAGGAACCTACATAGCTGAGGTCCAGAGAAGTGAATGACCTGCCCAAGACCACATGGCTAGGTTGGTGGCAGAGCTGAGTTGAAGACCCAGCCTCTGGGCTCCTTCTGTAACTCCAGTGCTTTTTCATGTGCTGCCTCCTCAGGAGACTAAGGCTACTCCCCCTGCTAGAGGAAGTAAACATGTGTCTATCTGGACAGAGCAGATTACACTTGAAGCTGAGGGCTGTGGACACTTTGAGTTCCATCAACCATAACTCAGCACCCAGCACCCAGGTGGAGGTTGGATTAGCTATACCTGTTTAACCTCTGGAATTCTTGGTTTCTGGTGTGTGTGTTGTTTGTTTTTATGTTTTTATTAATTTCTAGAGAGAAACATCAAAAGGAGAGGGACAGCGACAGAGACAGAGACCCAGAGAGAGAGAGAGAAACAGAAACATCGATGTATGGAACAGATAGATCAATTGCCTCCTGTAAGTACCCCAACTGGGACCAAACCCACACCTTGGGCATGTGCCCTGACTGGGAATCAAATCAGTGACCTTTCAGTGCACAGGATGACACTCACCCAACTGAGCATTCTTGGATTCTTCTAGCCATTGAATTGGTTCCCTTGACCCTGGTCACGCCTCTTCACCAACCCTATTTAATAAGACTTAACACCTGCCTTGGACTACAAAGCCAGTGTTTGGTTGTTGAGCTCAACATCATCTCTCTGCTCATTGAGCAACTAGACAATTCCTCTTGAACCTATTTATCCATTAAAACCTCCCTTTGCTGAGAGGACTCAGAGCCTTGAATTTTGGGTAGTGGTTGATGGATGTTTTGCCTTTGTTTACCAACTGAAAAGAACTGAAGATTTTTTTAATTAGTGGAAACCATCATTAAACTCATACAAGCATTTGTCATCATTAATAGGTTCCCAAGAGAAACAGAGTGACCCATTTGCCTGAGCCAGGTCAAGCAAGAGTGAATGTCTTGAGAAATTTGAGCACTTCATGCCCTTCCAGTACCGCTCAGGTTCCAGGTTAGTTTTCCCCTCTGGTCTCCTTCACTGGGCTCAAATTCTCAACAACTGGCAGTGAAGGGTTTGAAGAATGTTTGGTGGAATGTTGCTGACCCCAGAGTTCCTCCCACTTGAAGGCCTGCGTAGGGTTATTTGGACTCCTTCCTGCTCTGTACCACAAGTGTTCCCACCCACAGTCCATGGGAGAGACTGTGCCTGAGGGACAAGGGGCAGCGAATTCCTCAGGCACCTATGAGATATGCCTTACATTCCCCCTGACAAATGAAGTTACAGCAAAAGCAAGGGAAGACAGCTGCTACATTTCATCCAGCCCAGCTGAGTTCCATTGCTGCTTCCCATCTGCCAGTCCCAATGTCATTACCATTGAGGCACTGGGATTGAACTTGAGTTATGAAGGCCACACATGAAGACAGAAGAAAGGAAATGACGAGGAGGAGACAAGAGGGTTGAAATTGAACAGGGAAAAGATTAAAAGTAAAGCCAGAATGCCACTTGGTTTTTTTCCCCATTCTCCTTTATTCCTTAAACACCTAGTTACAAGTTGCACAAACAAAAAATAAAGGTAGAGGACACAGGGAAGATTTTTGTGATGTGTAGGAGATGGGAAGGGAGAAGGGGGTGAGAACCAGTCCTCTCTCTCCACATAGCCCCCTGAATGAGGGCTATGACCCCTGCAGCAGGGGATCTGAGAAGGAGGTGGGCAAAGGTCCAAGGTAGCTGAGGGAGGGAGGAGGCCCCTAAACCCAGAGCTCCCCACAAAAGCCTTCAATGTATGGCAGGGGTAGAATGGGGAAGGTGAGGAGGTTCAAAGATGGAGCAGCAAAATGAAAAATCAAGTTAGTGGATACAGGAGATGTGGAGTCACTGGGAAGGGAATTAAAGAAGGAAAATGTAGATAAAGGGGGCAGTGAAAGGTTCTCCCTGAGACTCCAGGGAGAGTGGGGGCCAGCTTGCCTGTTAATTTAATATTAAAGTGGGAGTGGGAGTTGGAGAGGAAAAAGTTATATCGGGGGATGATTTGTCAGCCTCTCAGCCTGTACCTAGAGGGGGAGAGAGATGAGTACAAGTCAAAAGGAAGACAAATGATAAAAGCCAGGAGCTGGGGTTTAATCCCTATTCTGGTGAGAGTTCTTTCCGTAGCAACTAAAACTTCTATCAAAGGCAGTATCTGCTAGGCACCTGGACTGTTTCTGCCTCAGCAGAGTAATGGGCACAGGTACTCTGCCCAACCTCCCTCCTGTGCTTGGCATCTTACAATTCCTCCCCCTCAAATACTTACAAGAGAGGCTGAGGGCCCAGGGCCCTCACCAGTCATAGCGGCGGGACTGTCGGGAGGGGGAGTCCTCAGGTGCTTGTATGGCCAGGCGGGGAGGCCCCTCGGTCCTTCGGCCTCCACCCCCTGAAGCTTCATGCCTTCGAAATTCCAGAGGGCGCTGCTGCCGGAATCGGGAGGTCTCTCTCCGCCATTCATCATCAAATGCTGCGGCCTCACCTGAAGAAGACAGAGACCAGACACCGCCTGTGGACAACCTGGCTTCCAGAGGGAGATGCAAGGGTGAGCCACAGGCTTCTACGACTGAAACTGCTGAGAGTAGGGGTATGGGATGTGTGGGGGAGGGCAAGCTTATTTAGCAGTTTCTGGTTCAGTGTGGTTCCTAGAAGCCACTAACAGGCCTAAGGCATGACCACTACAGAAGGAATTCAGGAATGGGATAATTATTTACTTAAGGAGCAGAGTCCCAAGCACACAATAAGTATTTGATAAATATTTGTTGATTTTAAAAAAGAGAGAAAAAAAAAACAAAAACAAAAGGGGATCCAGTTGGAGAGGGTAGATTACTATCAATCTCTCACTTAGGTGACAGAGTTTGCCCCTCCCTGGTGACCTGACTCAGCCCCAAAGCTGACAAGCCTCCAAGAGAGGTAAGAATATGGGGCTCACCATCACCCGGCAGGTGTGACTCAGTGGTTGAGCATCAACCTATGAACCAGGAGGTCACGGTTCAATTCCCAGTTAGGGCACATGCCCGAGATGCAGGCTCGCTCCCCAATGGGAGGCATGTAGGAGGCAGCCGATGGATGATTCTCTCTCATCATTAATGTTTCTATCATTATCTCTCTCCTGTCCTCTCTGAGATCAACAAAAATTTAAAAAAAAAAAAAAAAAAGAAATATGGGGCTCACCATATTTTGCCCAAAAAAATATCTATGGATGTAGGGAGAAAAAGCTGGTATCTCCTAGTTCACAGAAACTGGACTAGGGGCTACTGGAAGAGAAGCTGGAAGGGTGGTGAGCAGCAAGGAAGGCTCACTTTCATCCAGGTTGATGTAGTCCTGCCGCTCTTCCTGGTCCCCTGTGCGGTGGTTTCGGGAGCGCTGGAGGATGTGAGCCCGATCTCGGATGTGATGTCCAATGGACATCTGCTCTAGTCCACTGTCCGAGTCCCGCACAGTCCTCCGAGTCTCCCGGATCTGGGATGAGGCAGAACACGGCACATTCAGCTACCCCTTCCAAAGCCCAGGCCATGCCAACCCGGGACAGACAAACCACCCACAACTCAATCTTGAAAAAAGAAGGCAGGGTTTCTGTGGCTGCCATTCAAATCCTGCCTTCTCTGAGAGGAAAAGCTCTCCGACTCACCCCGCCTGGTGCCGAGCGCATCTCTGACGTCTCCTGGTAGACCTTGGGGGCACCGTCACCCGTATTGGAGTAGGAGATGACTGTGGAGGATGAGAAGGTCTGGCAGTTGCCTCCAGCAGTCATGTGTTCCTGAGAAGGAAAGGGTCCAGTGGGCCTGAAGGGGCGGGGCTCTGGGGACAGGATCCCACCCTTCAGCTGCCTGTTCTTGCTCATATCTTCCTCACAAAATGTGAAAACTAAGAAGATGTCAGGACTCATCATTGCCCCCAACTCCTCTGAGTGCCACATTAATAAGAATAATATGAACAGTGTGGCTCAGCGGTTGAGCATCAACCCATGAACCAAGAGGTCACCAGTTGGATTCCCAGGTTGGAGGCTTGATCCCCAGTAGAGGAGATGTGGAGGAGGCAGCCAACTGATGTTTCTATCTCTCTTTCCCTCTCCCTTCCTCTCTCTCTAAAATCAATATAAACATATTTTTAAAATAAATAAAAAAGAAGGACTTTAAGAGTTTGAGCCTTAACTGCATATTTCATAAGAGTGCTGCTGCTGCTTCGCATTCAGGCATGAGAGCAGACACCGAAACCCAGTGCTCTCCGGATTCAGTTTCTTTACCCAGCTTGACCCCTTCTCTAGCTCTCTCCCCCACTCCTCTGAGGACTCAAGGTGGTGCCAAGGGATGAAACAGGAGTCTCACCATGTTTCCGATCATGTCGTTCATCATCCCAAACATGTCCATGAAGCCACCCGACTGCAGCAGAGAGATGGAAAGCAGAATGAGTGCTCAGAGATAACCCACCATCCCGTTCTCTTCTTCCTTCACGCCTAGCAACTGCTCTTTGTCATTCTTCATGAACATGTTTCTCTTCCTGTATACTGCAGCCCTCCTCCGCAGCCTCTACGGCTGTTCTGGTCCAATTTCCCTTTTCCTGACTGCCCTAGGTATGCCGAAGTCAATGGACTCACCTGTAAAGGTGTTTGGGCATGAACTTGTACCAGGTAATCTTATAAAAAACCATGTCTAGTGGGCCCTTCACCTGCACCTCCCTCCTGAAAAAGAACAAACTTCCCTAGACAAGTACATTTTCCTAATGAGTATGGCTCCTACAAGGACAGAAGTCAATATTAGCATCTTTACCTCACGGACTCATAGCACACAGCAGGCCCAGAGCTTTGAGAACACTATAAGTTTCTAGGGTTACCCATAAGGCTATTCTAGAGAGGCACATTTGGAAGTAATATCTAAGTGTATAGAGTGTGTCTGAGATGGAAGGACACAAGGAGATAAGAACTCACCATTCCCAGCATCCCAAAGGGAGAGACGGCCCCAGCCTACAGGAACACAGAAAGAACAGACATCAGCGACCACAACCGATCTCACTGCAATCCCAAACCTAGCCCATGGCCTCAGCTTGTTTCTCACCCTCCTCTCAAAGGGGTATCACTCAGCCCTTCTTCCAGACCCCTTTCCCCTGTCCCCTGCTCCTAGATGATCCCACTGGCTGTAGTGCAAGAAAAATCAAGCGCTTTACTAACCACCCTCCAACCTTTCTTGGGGTCTCAGGTACACTGCAGCATCATTACCTGCATCCTGCGGCTGGCAGGCCTGGTCCCTGGCATGTTGCCATCCGTAATGCTGAGGAAGGGGCTGTATCCAAAGCCACCTGACAACATCCGGTTCATATGCTGACGGTGAATAGCAAAGGGGTCCCTGTGGAGTGAGTATACAGTATGGATGGCAGAAGGGCCAAGCAGTCAACCGCCCCTCCCCCCAAAAGAAACCGGTCCTGGGGAACAGTGGCACAGATGTCTGCTTGCCCTCCAAGATGGAGCTGGAGCTCAGTATCCAGCCAGCACTGTAGACACCATGGGAACCCACATGTCTGTAGGCACTACTCAGACACCTCAAGTGGAGTGGGATGAGTACCAGAGCATGAGGGGGAGGGAGTACTCACATCAGGAACATGGGATCCTCAGGCTCCACATCCCTCATGAAGCGGAACATCCTGATTTTAGCTCCAGGGGGCTCCACACTGTAAAGATGAGATACTTGGCGGCAGCCAGGCTCTGCACACCCGCTCAGTGTCGGGGCGCTCACAGCACTCACCGTCCCTTCCACATCCTGCGGCTGACCTCCCACCCCGAACGCGGTGAGACCCCCTCCAGGGAGAGAAGAGCTCTTCCAGCCTCTCGCAAGGAGGGCCACGGGGAACTCCGCCGCCTCTCCCACTCAGCCATCCTCTCCCCAAAGCCCTGGCCAGAGCATACCCCTCCCCTGCCGCCACTGTTCCGGATGCGAATCCCAAGTGCCGGCCCTGCGCCCGGTGATGACCCCCAGCATCCCGCCCCCTCCTCCCCCAGCCGCTGCCAGGCCTCCCCGGGCGGGCCTCGCGGTCCCCGCCGAACTGTCAGAGGACTCCGCTGGCCCAGCTCTCCGCCGGGCGAAGCAGGAGGCGGGCCTGACGCTCCCCTCCCCGCATCCCAGGCTCGCAGCCCTGCAGCCCCGTTCCCACCGAGCCTCACCGGTCCCCGC